GCCAGGGACGGGGCCGAGGACGGGGATGGGATGAGACGGGACCGGCGGTGTTGAAGCTCCCTGTGCATCGTTTGGGCTGTGCGCTCGGTTGTGTCGTGAGGCTCCCTCGGAGCGGGGGAGGAAGGGGGGCGGGGAGGAGCCCGACTTTTCCCAGTTTCGATTTTTGGAAACGGGTAAATATCCACTGTTTACAAGGCCCTCTGGTCGCATCTGTGTTGTTTTCTGGCAAAAATCAGCGCTGCAGGCTGTGATTTTGGGAGGGTGTTAAAATAACCTCTTCAGACTACTCGAAACTGACCTTAATTCGAAAGCAAGTCTATCTTACCAGTTTAAGTGTGCGTTACTTTTCCTTTTTTAATGTTTCTAGCATGTTTTCAATATCTGTTTGAAACGGGTGTTTCTGTAATTGTGGGGTATTTCATGATGATCTTAGCTGTAATTTGCAGGTACTTTCCAGACTTCTCTTTGTCCCCAGATGAGTATTTTTGAAGACTTTTTAGTGCCTTAAAATCTTTTGATAAAACTTAAGATGAGTTTCCAAATAATTTACTGTGATAACACCTGGTGGCTTTTGGTAGAGGTCAGCCTCCTGCTACTTTGAGTGTTTTACACATTAATAAGAGAGAGTCAGTTCTGGAGTGTTTGTAGCTTTTTAGTGGAGAAACACTGAAGCATCATTCCAGAACTGATCAAGAAAATAGACATTGATAGGTGGTCCTCCAAGAGGAACTAAAGAACAAGGATCTGTGTGGTGCATTTTTTTTTAATCTTCATATTCTTTGTAATATTATGAAAATTACCCAGGTTTGGGGGTTTTTGGAGTTGTGCTGATGACAAGGATTGCTTGCGATGGCCGGATTTGGGATGTATGGGGGGGGCATTTGTTTGTTAGTGACTCTCTGTTAATTTATTTCTAGGAAAAAAAGCAAGTAAGTAAGGAAGAGCCCAAGATCAAAGAGCCTGATGATGTCTTCCTTCCTCCTGTGGCAGAAGTGGCTTTTCAGGCTGGCAAAGCACGAGTGGAGCATCCTGAAGGATTTACAGAAATCCAGCTTGATGATGGAGCAGAGGACAGAACTGTGAATGATGTGCGAGACGCTCCCTCGAGTGCTTCAGCCTTGGCAAATAAAGGATCTTCAGTGGTGGCTTCAGGGCCTGCAGCAGCAGAAGAGCCCCAAGCCCCTCCATTACGTGGGGAGTGTGGGGAGGATATTGAGAAGAGTGAGAAAAACAGGCTGGGTCCAACCGAGAGGCTCTGCCCTGCGGAGGCTCTTGCCAGTCACTCGGGGAGCTGCGATGTGTCGGCCAGCACCTCTCATTCCACTGCTGCTGCCTCAAGAGTGGATTTTGTACAAGACAAAGGAGCTGAGAGCATCCGAGATGTTAAAAGACCTCTTGTCCCTTCTTTGGAGCAGCTTCCTTTTAACATATCCCAGTCCTGTGAGAATTCCAAAGTGCGTGTGCAGCGTCCCAGGCTGAAAGCCATTTATCCAGACTTGTCAACTGAATTGTCTTACGAGAGACCCACCGTGGTAGCCATCAAACCGCTGCTGCACAACGAAAAGCTGTACCCAGAAATCCCGACTGAGCCAGAGCTGGTGCCGTTCACCAGAGAGCAGCTGAAGATTTTTGAGCCGTGCTCATGGCTGGAGAATGTTGACTCCTACACGGAAGAATTTGAGAGTGTTGCTCATCAGGACAGGCACGAGTTCCACGAGCTGCTCCTGAACTACATGCGCTGTCGCAAGCAGCTGCTGCTGGCTGAGGCTGAGCTGCAGGCCATGACCACAGACTGCCAAAACGCCAAGGGGAGACTGTGGACGTTTAAAGAGGAGCAGAAAACTGTGCAGGTGCTGCTACTGAAACTACTTTTGTACCCCAAATTTTGGACCTGATTTCGGACATGAGTCTTGCTGGCTGTGTTTTGGCTGGTTTGCTGTGAAAGAGATGCTTGCCTCTGTTGTTCCTTCTCTTCACTGTCCTGGTGACACCCCCCTACCTCTGTGCTTAAGAATATGATCCTGTTGATGTTTAAGGCAGTTTGTTCCTTGGTATAAACTATGGCAAAAGTAGGATATTAGAGTCTCTGCTAATGATCTCTGCTCTCTGTAGTCAGTCGGAAGGGCACAGCTAATTCTGCTTGTTGTGTTGGGTCAAATTTGTGCCAGCTGCTGCTTTGGCTGAACACGAGGGATCTGCGGTGGAGTGGGACTGTAGCCAGGAGTTCAGTGACTGTAGCGATGTTTCTGCCTGTTGCATCTGGGCTACTGCCTGTGGTGGTGATTTTCATTTGACGTCATTCCTGGTTGTCCTGCAGGCAAAGGTTGTGGGGCAGTGGAATTAGAGTCCTGCTCCTGGTGACCCTGCTACTCGGAGTGTAGGGAGTGCAAGAGGCATCTGCTTCAGGTTGCTGTTGCTCCATAAGGATAACTTATAAGGTATAGCTCCCTCTGGGCTGACTACTGTAGCAGCATTGGTGCCTGCAAACCAGAGCTCCCTGGGAATGCTTTTGGTACGTGCACCAGAGAAGTTTTCCCCAGAACTTGTTCTCTGTAACTTGTTTTCAGACCTGGTGATTGTGGGAGCAGTGGAGCTGCTCCTCTGATAACGCTACGTGTCACAAGTTCTGGTTACTTGTTGGCTAAAACCATCATATATGGGGCTTTCTGTGTTCTTCCTTGGAGTTAAGAAGATGCAAAGTGACATCTACTGAGCAGATTTGAGTCTTCCCTTTTTTTGCAAAAAAATGGAATGAAGCTGTACCACAGAAAATTATTAGACTTCCAGCTTTGCTTTTATCAGTTTCTATGTGCTCCAGTTTTAACTTCACCCTTGCATCTCCCCTGGCCAGCATAAAGTTTGCAAAGCTCGCTGGCTTGCTGCTTGCTTTATTCCCTCTTAGTTTTCTCTTTACTGGGTGTGTGTACATAGTTCTTTTTAATACCAATTCAAAACTCTTGTTTTGCAGAAGTTATTAGAAGAAGAATGCCTTCAAGCCATGCTTCCTGAGTGTGTGCTACAAAGCACATTTTGTGTTTGCATAAAAAAATAACAGGCTACGTATCGTGGCTTCTTTACGCTAAGAAGTTGGAGTAGGGGCAGAGGGAGATTACTCTCAGCCTTCAGATTCCAGTTTGAGGAAAGCTAGAGTACAGTTCACTTGAGAAATGTTTAATGTATTACAGGGAATTACTAATAAATATTGAATTCTAGGAGCCTATAAAAGCTTTTAGCTTCTGTCAACGTGTGTTTTGTCTTTAAAACAGCAGAGCTGGATGTTTATGAAGATCTATAAATTAAGAAGCATTTGCTCTTGTCTGGGAGTAGAATGATCTGATTTTGTTTGCGTCTGATACTGATAAAGACAGGTCGTTTCCTAATTCTGTGTGATTGGAGAGGGGCTTACATAGTCTAGACTTTTTTTTCCCCCAAAGTCAGGGATCTATTGCATCTTCAGCAGTCAGAAGCTCTGAAAAATAAAAATTGCAAAAATAAGTATTGTAAAAGTATTTTTTACAGTATTGTTAAAAAAAAAAAGTATATAATCCCAGATTTTTATCTCTTGCCATTTGCAAAGTGCCCACTCTCATGAAAACTTTAATATCTCTTGAGTGGAGGGTTATGTCAGGGTTAATTTCTTTAAGCTCACTTAACGAAACAAAATGCCAAAAACCACTTACATAAAATAACTGCTTTTCCTTTCAGGGTGTCTGTGCAGACCAGTGCAAAGTGTCAGGTCACCATCGCTATCAGACGGTGGAGATGAATGAGAGCGTGTTGGGGGAACTGAGAAAGCTCTTTGAAGCCAAAGCAGAGCACGTGCACCAGACCCTGGCGCTCCACTTGTACACCTCGGTGCTGTCCCGCTTGCAGGTGGAGTCTTACATCTACAGGCTGCTCCACAGCTCATCCCTGCTGAGATCTGCGGCTCTTCAGCAGCAAGAACAAGGTGTGTTGCTCGCCTGGACAGATGCCCATGATGGCAGGATGCTGAAAGCCTCGTGTGCCTTGAGTTTTGGGCTTCTGTGGTGGGATTTGTATATTGAATGTTTCTCCTCTGATACCTGTTGATTTTACGTGGTGATCGGTGAAGCTTGCTGAAAAGCAGTAGTTCTCTTACCTTAGTCTCCTGTACAGTGGAAGTTGAATGCAGGAGTGTCACCTTCTGCCTAGTGTCTACTGCCCCGATTACCCTGGGTGGGATGGGACGCCCCGAATCCAGTCTCTTGTCAAAGGCAACATACAATACAATCCCTTTTCCAGATTGATTATAGACTATTTTAAACCTATTTGTGTGGAGTCTTGCTGCTTTATGTCTCTGGGAAGGCTGCTTGAAATCTCACAGCTTTAATTCTTAGATACCTGCTTGCTTTTCATCTGAAGGACATCCACAATCTGTGCTTGTGGCAGTATCATATTTTAGCCAAAATATCCTCCCCGCTGTCTTGTTTATTCTTCCTAGTCCTTCTCCAGACTGTGTTGTTTATATGTATGGTAAATAAGCTGATCCTTTTAAAGGTCATCTTGAAGGGAGGTCTTTTGTGAGAGTAGCTGCAGCATATGTGTATACATTTTCTTTGCAATAGCTTAATTATAAGATTAAATAAAATACTTTAATAAAGTCACCTTCTCTGTTAGTTCTAGAGAGCAGCTGTGTTGAAATATCTCAGTAACGATAGATACAGAGAGAGGATGTTTTCTGTCTCATCTCCAAAGCGCTGCTTATGCTACTACTGTGGGAGTCACTCATTAAAGCTGCTCGATTCTGTTTTTAACTTACAGTTTCAAAGCAATCAGAAAATCTTTCTTCAGACTTGAGCCACTTGAAAGAATGTGTCAGCGTCCTGTTCAGCTTCACTCGCAGAGTTATCGAAGACCCTCAGTTTCAAAGCGACCTGCTCGGCTGGCTGCGGAGACTGGTGAGGGAGTGAGTGTGTGCTCGAGCACCTGAGCTCAGCTTGCAAAGTTACTGCTTGTCCCATGTGCAATCAATTCCTGGATATATATATATTTTTTTAGTTGGGGAACATAATCTGTTGCTGAATCTTTGAATTCCCTTGCCTGATAAAGTCAGTGGAGATGAACAGTCTTAATGATGTCTGGCGTATGAGTGGACCTGAGTGTTTTAATGGATACTGAGCATTACTGTTCCTTTGGGAGAATGAGTCTTCAGATTTGGGAAACTTCCATTCTTACTCACTTTTAAATAAATTAATCTCTTTAAAATATTACTGGTAAAACTGCAGTTCCTTTAAGATTTTCCTACACTAAAGCAAATGAGGTGGGAAATGCTGTAATTTGCAAGCCAGACAGCAGCTTCTCAGTATTGTTCTCCTATTGCTTGCCTTGAGAACTGAGGCTTATTGGAAGGTGTGAGAAATGAAAAAGCATTATTTATCTGTTTAGCAAGACTGTGAAAGAATGAACTTTGAAATTATTTCCAAGCCTCCTGTGTACTCTCCTTTTAGGTGGCAGTGTTACAGAGAATTGGCTGTCCAGGGGACCATCTCTTCCTCTTGAACCACATCCTCCGGTGCCCAGCTGGGATCAGTGAATGGGCCGTTCCTTTCATTCAGGTGTGAATGTTTAATTCTTTATTTTTGCAAAGTTGGGGTAGATGGGAGAAGAGAATGTTTGGTAGCAAATTAGTCCGCTGTGGCTGCTGCTTGTTTTGGAGTGTGAAAAAGCGGTAAGAAGGCTGTCTGTGTGTGCATACACGTTATCTCAGCTGGGATAGGAAACAGCCTCCTCTCACCACCTCTCAGCTAGGGAGACTCAAAAGGGAGTTCAGGATTTAAGGTATGATACAACAGCAGACTGTGGGAGGACTTCCAAGGACAAGGGAAGAGTTGAAGCAGTACCTGTATATAAGACAAGTAAGACTGGAATCAGCCCTCTGAGATGTAAGGGATAAGTGAGAACAGTTTCAAAATACTGCACGTTGTCGTGGGCTAATTAGCAGGCTAATTAGTAATGCAAAGGGAATATGCTCACTTTGTAGAGATCGGAGGGAGTGAAGATGTTCGTAGACAGCAGAGCATTTTCCAAAGCAATATTTTTGCCCTTTTAAGACAGGAATGTATTGTAAATCAAACTGTAGAGAAAGGATTGCATATACAGGAACAGGGAAATGGCAAGCAAAAGAATAAAAAGGAAATCAAAGGCAGCATTTTAACTCCCCTTTTAGTGAACACCCCACTTGCCCTCCTGGTCTTCATATGTACATGAAGGGAAGAGAGAGGTTGAGAATTGTCTTTTACACATACTTTTTCTTCTGAACAAAAAGCTGGTAATGAGGAGTATAAAACTCACAATATTAATTATCTGATAAAACTAACTTGCAATTTGTTTAACTTAAGACTACTTTTTTTTTCTCCTCAGATCAAGGTCTTGGATAACCCATCAGGTGTCTTTCATTTCATGCAGTCTCTTGCCTTGCTTATGTCTCCTATCAAGTAAGTGTGAAAAACAGGATTTCCTAAACATGTTCCGATTATTTAATAGTAGAAAACATAATGACACAGGATCTACTTAAACAGCTGTGGAAGCCTACTGGAGGCCAAGTCATATAAACAGGCATTAAGAGATTCATATTGAAATTTGAAGTTTTTTATTCGCCTCAGGATACAGCCTTTGCAGTACGTTATCCTCCTGCACACAGTAAAATAGAGCTTTTTAACCTGTCAGCCAGTGTAGCTGACTTTACTGCATGTTTGTTACAGTGAACTCTGAAATAAAATTCTAGGCGATACTTCCACAGTCACCTGCAAGGAATCCTGTCTTTGCAACAAAAGTGCCTGAATAAAAGGTTTGCAAAGTTGGAGTATACATTGATGGTGCTCTTTAATTTTTTTCCGTATGCTTTTTTTTCCCTCTTACCTAGAAGGAAGCAGTAATGGTTGGAAAAGCTAATTGTTGAAATCATTATGAGTGGAAACTGCTGTTTACATTGCCCTAAACCATAATCTGTTCCATCTTTGAGCTCTTCTTTAATCATTAGCCTTTCTCCTTGCTAGAGATTAGTGTGTGGAGATAATTCCTCCCTTGGGGATGCTTCCAACAATAGGAAAGTTGCAAGTCCCTGACTTGAACACACTGAGGTTGTATTTGTTGAGACAGGTAGACTGATGTTTTTATAAAAATGATAGTTCCAGGGGTTGAACTGTTGGTCCTGAGGTGGAGGAGGTTGATACTTGCCTGATAGAGTTGTGGCATGCCAAGAACAAGTTTTAATTCCAATTTTAGTTTGCAAAACTGGTATCTTAAAGCTTATGCAGCATTTGTAAAATGTTAATATCATCAGGGTATGAGCTCAGGGAGACTATTTTTTCCCCCCACTCTGTGACCACCGAGGTGACAAGCTGCCAGTGTCCTGTGGCAAGACGTGTAGAGTTCTACCACTATCTTGCTAGATGATAAGAAGCTAAATGTTATGATTTTAACTTTTCATATAGCTTTTTTTTGCATTTGATTTCCTCATGTATCTATGCAATTAAGAATTTATGCAGCATACTGAAACTAGTATCCCAGCTTTAAAATGATCTAATGTATGGATTTTTTCTTTCTCCACATTTTGTCAAATCAACAGTATTGGAAGTTGAAACAAATGTGCCTTCCCATTTGAAGAATGCTAGAAAAATGAGTGAGTGTTAGAACAGGGTGACACTTTACATGTGCCAAAATGCAGTCAGACAGGCAAGCTTGAATCTCCCTGCCACTCTTGGAGCTCTCTTGTCATAAGGCAGCTCTGGTCTGGGAATAGTTTAGTTGTGGTAGCTTAGTGAACCTTATTAATTTTATAATTTTATAAATAATATAATTGTGTATAATCTATTAATGATGAGCTAATTAATAATATTTTTATTAATTTTGTCCTGATGTCTGGCTTGGGGAGGAGCTGTGGAGAGGAGCTGATCTGCAATCACCCTATTTTTCTTTGCTTCACTAGATGACAGCCTTAAACAGTTCTTGTAAATACCTCTTCTGTGAAATATAATTTCCCTTAATTTGAATTGTGAATTTTAAGTGTAGACAAAGAATGGTGTTATCTCTTTCATATTTAACGTGACTTGCTGTAGGGATGCTAGTCACTTAGGTTGTGCAGAATATTGCTTGGAAGAGTGAAAACTGAATTGAGACATCGGATTGATGTGTTTTGTATTACTTCAAGGTATTTGGCCTACTTGATGCTTTCTTCTGTTTGTTTTAAAATATTTTAACTAAGAATTAATTAAATTCAGGGATTTTTTTCCTTCTAATTTTTCAAGATTTAGTTTTCACTTTAAATGGATTTATGTCCTCAGAAATCGGGGGGACTTCATGTGCCATATGAAACCTAATGAAAGAAAGACTTCCTCTTCATCTGGAAAAGAATCGGGAAACTGGACACTAGTAGATGAAGGAGGAGAGGAGGTACAAAAAAAAATGTTTTTTTCCCCTAATGCCTTTTTTTAAGCTTATTGTATTGATTTGGTGAATTGGAGGAAGTAAAGCTGGCTCTCAGTCAGTTATAAAGCATCATTTTAAATTTAGATCTGTTTTTGTCTCCTTGTAGCTTTGTGGTGTGGTTGCAGATAGTCATGGCATACTGGAAAGTGGAGGTTTCCATCGATGAATATTAACAAATATAAATTAAACTTTATTGGAACTACTATGTGCAAAAGGAGGGGAAAATACAGTTTATTTAAGGCAGTGTAATGGATTTCAAAGTGTTTATACAATGCAAATGTAGACAAGCATTTGAATATGTGCTCCTCTTTAGGGGTTATGTTGGACTGCCACGGGCTGCGTTATGGGTAGCTCTGTCTCCTGGCTGATGAGCCCCCTTAGGCAAAAGTGCAACCCAAAATTTGGGGACCTGTGTGTATAGGAGACTTCAGTTGTCTCTTTTTATGTACTTTATTTCTTTACCTATGCAAGGAAACTGGAATTAGTATAATAACTATGTCCTTCTGCCATGACTTTTATTGGGAAAGATATTAAAAGCTAAATTTGTCTGCAGGATGAAGATCCTGAAACAAGCTGGATTCTGCTTTTGGAAGATGATTTGATTGTCCTATTGTCACAGTTTCCTTTTCGTGAACTGTTTCAGCAGTTCCTTGGGATCAAGTCTGGAGGTAAATTAGCTGCTAAAGGAGTTTGTTTGCCTTTTTTGGGGGTTGTTGTTTTTTAAATGTATTAATGACTAAAACAGCCAAATGGGCTACACTGTTTTGAGAAATGCTCTTCAAAACGAGGAGTAAACAAACCTGCACAAACAGCTTGCAGGCTAAATAGATAACAAGTTGAATGTTTTGGGGACTAGCAAGTTCACAGCAATGCCAGCATGATTAGAGTTTACTTTTGATCTGTTCATGAGATATGTTCACAGATGTGCTTTCAGAGCTAATCTTTTCCCCCTTGCCTGGTAGCTGTGGTGTTACAGATGATTTTTCTTCAATTACTTGGTGCCTTTTTTTTCTTCCCTAATCTCTGGACAAATACATGAAGATACCACTTGATGGAGACTTTATAATCTGCATAGATGATTTGTACTTTCATATTTAAATATTTCACTTGAGAATGAATGCTCTGCTTTTTTCTTTTTATTATTTTTTTTCCCTTTTTTTAGGTTCATATTTTCCTGAAAAAACAACTCCCCACGAAATGATGAAGATTTTTGCTTTTGCAAACTCCTTAATAGAACTTCTGTCTGTAGGGCTGGAAACATTTAACAGAGCCCGTTACAGGCAGTTTGTGAAACGAATTGGTCGGTTGATCAAGTAAGAGCTTATCTATCTCCTCTGTTATGAATGAATCTCTACATACTGTTACTTTTGCATTTCTGTGGAGTTTTCCATTGCAGAAGAAAAAGCATTTCTCATAAGATGCCTTGTTCTTAATTTCTCTTTCTGGTTTGAAACTCGGGGCTGCTACTAAAATGTAAACATCAGTTCTTGGGTGACCTCCTCCACACAGTAGGGCTAGTTTATCTGGGAATCTCAAGATTCAGAGTCCTTAACTCCAAAACTGTCTGTGTGGTGGAGAGTAGCAGGGTCTAAATACTGTGGCAGTAAGGAAATATAATTAGAAAAGTTGCTCTGTGTTGTTAAATCTCTAGTGGTCACTTAATAGAGCCTGGTTAGAATGTTTTTGTTTTCTGAACATCTTTCCTGAAGCAAAAATCATGTTTTTTTTGTGCTATTCTGTGTTAGTTGGTGCTGTAATAATTACTCGTGTCTGGGCTTTTTGCATGTATAGCAATCTCAAAAGGTAAGATTGCTTTAAGGATTAAAAGATCGTAAAAGCTTGATTTCATGTAACAGAATATGCATGCTTTGCTTGCGGAACTAAGAAGGGGATAGTACTGGAGTTCATAGACTCAGCTTGTCCGAAGAGGTGGGAAAAGTACATATTGTGTATACAGGAGTCTCTTAGAAACCAGAGGGCAAAGGCTTGAACTTGTTTATCTCGTAACTAGACTCCAGTCTGGCTGCATGTGTCTGTTTTTATACTGTAATGGTCTTTCAACAACTTGTTTTTTCTGTGTCATGTAGGATGACACTTTGTCATGTGAGTGACCACTGGGCCCAATACATTAGCTGCAATAAACAGTGTGGATCAATAGGACATCCCTACTCCATGGAGAAATTGCAACTAGAGTTTGATGAGCTGTTTTTTAGAGCTGTTCTGCATGTTCTGAAGGCCAAAAGGTAGGTTGTCCACTGGTTGATACCAAAATACTGAGCTGAAAAGCCAAATACCTTGGAATGAGACCTGTGAGAAAAGGTCGTGCTGAATCACTTCCTTCACCCTGACACCTCTTTCAGTGGATACTGGTTTTGGCAATAGCTTTCATATTTACTCTTAATGATTTACACAAGTGTAAAATGTAGGATTTTTTAGTTCAGGGGTGATATCAAGATGGGCAAGAATTCTAGGCCTTGATTTCTAGCATCAGACGTGGGGAATTTGCTGACCTCATTCTCTCAGAATGAGAGGTGCTGAGACACATTTTGCCATTACCAATTCTGTAGGTGAGAGAATGTCTTCTTCTTAAGCTTTTGGCTTTTAACAAGGAAAACCGCTTTCTTCTCTGACTTTTCAAATCTGACAGGTTGGGAGTCTGGTTGTTCATGTCCCAGATGCCTTATGGAACTTTATCCAGCAATATGCTTTGGAAGCTCTTCTTCGTCATGCACTGCGCGGAGAGCGAGCACCTGGAAAAGCTCTGCTCTAACTTGCAGCCTGGTGATTGCAAGCAGAGACTCAGAGGTAGGATCCCTTTGCTCAGCTCGAATAGCTGTGCCATACAAAGGAAGTGTTTTGAAGAAGGAGATGAAAATAGAGGTCTTAAGAGTTTTATTTCTTGCATTTGTACAAGGTCAGCAAACTTGTAAGGCAGTTTGCTTGGATCAGGACAAGGGCATCAAGAGTGTATCTATATGTTTTTATAAAGTGCTGGTATGTTTTGACTGGCCAGTGCCATTCAGAGACTGTTTGAGTGGGAATACACATTTTTCTCTCCACCCAAATTCCAAATTTTTAGTATAGGATCTCATGTTTGTGTCTCAAACAGAGAGAGCATAGTACAATGCAGTGGTTGCAGTTCTGGCAGTAACAAGTCATTTTTGATGGAGCTTTGTTTCCCATCTAGATGACTTTTATGTTTTGACGTCCCTGGTATGCTGATGCAGAGTATTTTTTATCCTTTTCATTCCCCTGACTGGGTTATGTCAGCATGTCTGTCTCTTTCACAAATGTCTAGACAGGGAATTCAACAATTCTTTCAGTGAAATTCATCTAATCTTCTGAAATAAAATTGTTTGACTGGCACTTAGTGCTGACTTGGTTTCCCATAAGTCATACTCTAATAATCCTTGGCATGAATGTTCTTCTGAGATGGGGAGAGACTGTTTTTATTCGTCTTCTCTGATTGATTTTGGGAAGTGTTACTAGTAGTGCATCTACAGGTGCTAGCAAGGCTTGGACATTGGTGGAAGCTTTAGGCTTGCACATGTAAAGCAGTAGAACAGCTGTTTTTTAGGAATAGGCAGAATCGGTGTGGTAAAATGAACTAAGGCTGTGGAGAGGAGTTATTAGGACAACCGCTGGAGTGAGGACCAGCTTTGGGATGTCTGACTCTGAACAGTGGGCTGTAGTGTAAACGTTTGGTGGAGAAGAAAGGGAATTGGGTCAAGTAGCAAATATTTGATGAAGACACTGTTTCTGAGCTCTGAAGCAATGGGACTTAGATGGAGCCTGTCCCTTCTCCTCCCCATCCTTCAGTCCCATGATGTGTTTCAGTGGGAGTTTTTGGGTATGACATCTTGTCTACTACCTTAAAAATGTACTTCCCAACCTCTTCTGTTAAGGTAAAAGATGACATGAGAAGAAAAGGGAGATGAGTGGATGGGTCAGAGATTGCTGCAGCTTCTGTAGGTGTATGTGTCAATAATCTTGTTTATTATATGGAAAAGACTTAGATTGCACAGATCTCAGCATGTTCTTCATGAGATGTATTGGTGGTTAAGTCTGATCTTCTCAGATTGAGGTACAGGTGCAGACTTGTTGAAAGCACTCGAAGCAGAATGGAGACAAGGTGGAAGTGTTTAATGCCAGGTGTGCTAAATGCATGTGGCTCTGGATTGAGTAGTTGAGTACTTCTGTGAGTGCTTTTTTAGTATGCTCAACTGCTGTGATGAGATCTCAGGAACCATTTCTGCTGGTATGTTAAACTACAGAGGAAGCAGACCACTAGGCAAATCATTTTACAGCCCAGGTGCAGCTTTCAACACTTCCTTTATCTTCAGTTTATTGTAAGTAACAAGGTCTCTGCTGAAAAGTGTTTTTTTTGAAGTGCTGTTTTGAGGTAGCCCTTGAAGAGATGAGTGGAGATGCTCTCACTGCTCTCTTGTATAATCAATGTAGCAAGGTTTCCCTGCTTCAGCTGCTGCTTGTTCATGGTCTGTGGAATGTGTAAAGCCTCTTGATCAAAACTTGCTCTCTCCTTTGCTTAGGTGTGTGCTCAGGTTTCATCTTCCTCGGATTGTAGCACTTGTTAACTCTTATATGAAATAATTCTGTTTTAATTTATGGAGCTAATTGCTACAATATGTAATGAAAGCTAAAACCATAGCAGTATTTTTAGAAAGCACAAAGATCCAAGCAGGTCCTCCTATGAATGATCGACTCTGCCTAATTCAAAATTAATATTAAAAATTAAATTCTAGCCGTTTTTAAGACAATCTTAGTTTTCATCAGGAGTTCCTGTGATATTTGCTGACACATGTGGGCACATCATTCCATCACTGAATGCTATGATATTTTTTCACACTTTATTTCAAACAACTGGTACCAATCACTCCTGAAGGTGGGATACTAATTTGCAGACCATTACAGATGACAATTCCTTTCCTTTTGATTCCTTCTCCGGGATTGGACTGTGACTATATACGAAAGTATTAACGATCTACTTTCTGTAACGTTTCACTTTTGTTTCATGTAATTTTTTTTTTCCTAGATCCGAAGCACCTAGAAAGTTTTGGAAAGTATTTGAAGTCAATGAACTGCTCAGAAGAAATTTGTCTGATCACCACATTAGCTCAGATGGCACAGACCAAACGGGCTGATGTGGATGAGGATTTTATCAGAATGATTGTTCTGGAGATATATGAGGTGAATAATATTACAGAATATGCTCTTCCTCTTTCTGTCAGTGAAAAATGGGAAGCATTTCTCACCTCCATAGCTTATAAACCTCACAAGTAGCTCTCAGTCTCACGACTGACTGATCTATGATCGTGCTTGTTCCGTTTTGGGAGAGAAAACGTTTGTTTGGTTTTGTTTTTTATTTTGCATGGCTCTTCTCTTCCTGGTCTAACTTAAAACTCTGAAATTCCTGATGTTTATTCTCTTTTTGTTGTTGTTTGTATGTTCAGTTTTGAACATCGTTTTTGTCATTCTTTTTGGCAATGTGTCATAACGATTTCATTAACTGTTTTAAATGTTAAGAAAATCTGTTTCAATATTGATATTTACATTTATCAGCCTTGTTATCCACAATCAGCAAGAGTAATTTGGTTCTGTATTCTCCAAAAGGTGTTTCACTGCAGTAGTGGTGCACTGTTTATTGCAGTATCAGTGAAAGCCAACTGTAATGAGCAACTCTTCTCTGCTGATCTCCTCAGGTGTCCTACGTTAGTCTCTCCACGAGAGAGACATTTTCAAAAGTTGGTCGGGAACTCCTGGGGGCCATTGCCAGCACGCATACACAGATTATTTCTGTACTGCTGAATCGAGTTAGAGGCACCATTGAAAAGGTTGGGATGGTAAGTGCTGACCTCTGTCACTTGAAGTCACCCAGCTAAAACTAGGAAGAGACCCTACCAGACAGTGTTATAAGATACAGCTTGGGATGTCTGGGTCATTTTAAAGAGCTGTTGTTGGGGGTTTTTTGACTGTATCACTATGTTAGAAAGGCCTAGTGATGATGATGCTTTCATACTGAAGGCTGATGTGCCTTTTGTTCTCTGTCCTCAAAGGTTTCTTTGTATCTGTTCAAAGAACTGCCACTGCACCTATGGAAGCCTTCTTCAGCTGAGATAGCGCTGATTCGTGACTGGCTGTTAAACAACAATCTAACCACCGTGGAGAATAAGCTAGCCTGCATCATCCTGGAAGGCTTAAACTGGGGATTTGGGGAACATGTAAGTATGAAAAACACAGGAGGCCTGACACATGCATCAGTTTTTGAGGGGAAAGAAAAGTTTATTCTGTCTAAGGCTATTGTTATGATTTGGTGAAAACAGTTCAAATTACATACTCTTGGTATGATAAAATGCTTTGTGTGCATTTGAAAGCATTGGCACTGCAAATTTTGCAAAGATTTTCTAGTGTTCTGCCTGAAGATTTGTTTGTGTCGCTTTTTAGTAGTGATGCAGCTGAAGTTAAAAGATATTTAAACAGGAATTCCCCCTTAATGAGAGGAAACAGTTGAGGGGACAGTTTTTGTGAGTCACTCAAGGGGATTTGTGGCTGCAAAAAAAGAGGAATCTTCAAGCAGTGCATAGGACACTGGTGTAGCTGTGGCTGGCAGAATTATATGCAGGTGTGTTTTGTACAATTCAGGAAAAATCATGATTGAAATAAAGAAGCTCCAGATCTCTGAGTGTGATTTAAAAGACTGGAAAGTATTCTGGAAAATAGATTACTCCAGGAACTCTGTCTGTTCAATATGCAATTCACATCAACTATTTTTTTTTTCTCCATAGAAACAGAAGTTAACTTGGGTAGTCCTGTTGCCTGTGTTAAAAGACTAGATTTTTGATTACATTTAAGTATTTCAGTATTCGGATAGGTACATTGGATTGTACTAAACTCTTGTCTTTGCTGTGCTCGTACTCTGACATGAACCTTGTTGTACTTTTATCCCTCATTTCTTGGTAAACGCCTGAAAGTGGAGGAATGGTGGGTCCTGGAAAAATTTGGAGACTTTGATGTGCGAAGTCATGTTGAAACCTGTTGATATGGGGGAAAGTAGTGCTTTAAAATGGCAACTGATAAGAGGAATTAGTGTTTTGATGCAATTTGCAACTGTTTTTTGTTTTTTTTCCTTTTTTTTTTTTGGTATTTGATTGTTTGTTAGTGCAAGTGAACAGTAGGGCTTTAGAGACCTTTTTAAGTGAAGAGAAGCTTGATGTGATGTTTTTTTAGGAGGATGCTCTTCATCTGGATCCAGCTGTCCATTCAGAAGTTGCATTGCTGGTGCTGGAAGCATATCAGAAATATCTCCCCCAGAAACCATATGCTGGGTTGCTCTCTGAAAGCATAAAACAGGTATTTCCTCTTGAGAATTACAGGGAATAATTTATGGCTAATGACAGAAAAACTTTTTTTTTTTTTCTTTTCTTAGTATTAGAACATCATAAAATGCTAACTCCCTGGGGATTTGTGCAGCTACAGGGCTATCTTAAAATAATACTGTTAGTCTTAAAAGTTGAATGTCTGTTCCAGAAACATGAAATGAAAAACTGTTTAATGTTACTAGTGAATGTGAGACACCCTTCCTGTGTCTCCAGCTTTTGCCTTTTTTGAGGCCTCAGTTACTAATCTCTCTAAGCTTTTCAGTAATGATCAATGCTGTGTTACCTGAATAGCCTACAAACATTTTTTTACAGCACATGGGTGACGGAGGAAGGGTATATTCCCAAGTTACAAAAGAGAAACCTTAGGACAGAAAGGTCAAGATTAAAAACGCTTTTTATTTTTTGGTTGTTTAAGACAAAATGCTTGTATTTATTTATTCAGAGCTCCTGGCATTGTGTTGCGCTTTGTCTCTGCAGTATTTCTTGTACAGCATTTACTCCTGTGTATCTTTCTCAGGCTTTTCTTCCCACGTTTGGTTCCTTACCGTCTTCTGTCTGTCCTGTCTTGTTTCCTCTGTACTATTTAATCAAACTTTGTTGACTTGTGCGAGCTAGATGAGTTCTCTTTCTTTGGCTCATTTGTCCTGTGGTTATTACCTGTGGTGTTGGTTCTGTCCCGATGTTCATGAGCCTGTAGCTGAATTTTGAGTAAAAATTTGCTCCAGTTTGAATACCTACTACCTCTATATTGCTTTCCAGGTCTGAAATTTGCCCTGCCCTGTAAGGGCATGTGTGACACCTTTTTTTTTCCCAAAGATTTATAATTCATTTGAGTCTAGACAGACTTTTAAGGATAACACAGACATCCCTGGCCAATACAGAATATCTCCCTATCCATACTGTAGACTTCCTGTCCAAGAAGACCCTGTCAGGCTTTAAGCTTTTCGTTTACAGATACTATTTTTCTGTATTTCTTTTCACCAGCAGTCTTAAGCATTACTTAAGCAGTAAGCATTCATATGTATTAATAAATACTAAATACATGTTTATGTGTATGAAAATAAACAGATTACTGGAATGTATTTATCTTTAATGCTACATATAAGGAAAAAAGTAATCCAAGACTTATAGCTAGTTTGGAAAACTTTGGCCAAACTGCAGAGGTGGAAAGAGTTTTTCAGAAGGGCTGGGGTGGGGAGGGACATAAAAAATAGGGGTTTGAGCTAAACTTGGCTGTGTAGGGTGCTGCTTTGGGAGTTGGGGAACTCCTAGTCAAGGCCTGTGCCCGCTGCAGTGCGGCTGGGCTTCCCCTCATCCCTGTTGCCGCCTTGTGTTTCAGGTCTCCTACTTGGCCAGCGTTGTTCGTTACGGAGAAACGCCCGAGACCTCCTTCAACCAGTGGGCCTGGAGCTTGGTTTTGAGGCTGAAGCTCCACAGGAACGACCGCGGCCTGCGGCAGGGCTGGCCCG